ATTCCAATTTTGCGGGCATTTTTTAAAATTACAAGGAGCGAAAATTCGATACGCAACTAACCTGCACAGCCATCGATCAGCAACGGCGCTTTGTTGAACGTTAACATAAGCCGCTCTGCGTCATCAGCGCTACGCATTTGGACGTATGCGTAAAGACCCGACTCAGCAATATGGACTCGTAACACTTCCAGCGATGATACACGACCCACTTCTGCCTGGATCTTCGTTTCCGTGCAATTCAGTGGTATTTCCCGCAACAAAAGCGCTACAAGAACATATTTAACAAATTTAAACCTGTTTGAAAGCATTGTTCAGCGGATTTGGTCAGGTAATTCCCAAACTGTGAGCTGGCCAACACACAGATGCAGTCTGGATAGTCCAAAAGCATACGCACTTGCTAATACAATACAGAAGCAGATTGCAAAAGGATCAAAACAGGCAAAAATTTTGAAGTATTAGCCAATACGCTGAATAAACTGGACGTCAATCCCGGGTGACTAGATTGCGCTTTCACACTCTTTCGTGGCTTTTCTTAATGGCTGTGAAAGTGAAATATGCTTCAAACAGTCATAAACTGTGCAAGGTTTCATAAGGAACTTTGTTGCAGCATCCCCAGCAATTCTCTAAGGAGACATCGAAAAGTGACTTCTCAGCGTTGACAATTAAGAAACAATTGGCCAGTGCACGGGCTGCCCGTGCGCTGATGCGTTTTTTGCATAATTCCCCGCAGTTTTTGTCGCTTCCAGCATCGGTTTTTTCGGCAGATCCTTCTAGCTAAACAAATTAAGACTGGCCGCCAAAACTGGCAGGAAATACCCCATTAAAATTTCAGCTTTTTAGTGGCTCCTGGGTTAGCAACTTACTGGAAAAAATTTTTCACAAGCCCACACGTGGGTACCACGCATACCCGATGTCTGGGTTTGAGCTCATTGAGAATTACTCTCACAGGGAACATCTTCCTAAAACTACAGTCTCTTAGCTTTTCAGATTCTTGGGTTATGAACTTACCCGAGAAAAACTTCGGTGAACTCGTGCGTAGGTACCACGCATGACCGAGAGCTGGATTTGAGCTCGTTGAGACTAATGCGATGGGGAACATCCTTTTAATATTACAGTCTTCTAGCATCTCAGACCACCGAGTTATGAACTCACCCGGGGAAAACTTTGGCCGGCCCGTACGTGAGTACGCATTTACCTGGGGGCTGGGTTTGAGTTCATTAGTACCTACTTGGACGGGGAACATTCCTTTAAAATTTCAGCTCTCTAGCTTTTCTGGTTCGCGAGTTATCAACTTACCCGTGAAAAAATTTTGGCGAGCTCGTACGCGAGTACCACGCTTACCGGAAGTTGGGTTTGATCTCATTAGTATCTACTTGGACGGGGAACATTTCCATAAAATTTCAGCTCTCTAGCTTTTCTGGTTC